AAAACATAGGAAGGACTCACTTAATATAGCCCATGTCCCCATAAAATACTTCATCAAAAACTTAAAAGTTTGAACAAATGTGTAAAGATTTTTAAAATTCTGGACTTGTTTTAATTATGTAGTCTCCTAAAGATTATGCTGCACTCTAAAAACGATTTCCTTTTTTTTCAAAGTGTTCTCATTTCTCTTCTGTGGAAAAGAAGCAAACAGTTCATAACTTAAATATGACCTTGTTTTCCCCAAATTACAGGCCATTTAATTTACCTGGTGTATACACATATTCTTTTGATCATAATTCTTTGTCTACTTTTGTTCATTTCCTCACTAACTTCCCCTTGTCCTGGTACCAGCCATTTGATACAGCTCTTGGATTTTCCAGCTCTTTTCCCTGTAGGTAGGAAGTAGGGCTGTATTCTACACCTACTGTTTGCCTTTTACTGCCCCCTGACTCCTCTGCAGCCCCTCTTGTTCCTCCCTACTATTCCTGACTCCTTTCTCCACCCTCTACCTTTAATGTGCTTTGGACAGACCCTCTGCAATATGGAACTTTGATCTCTGCTTTCTTATGTAAATACACAATCAATGTAGCATGTAACATAATAGCTTATTGAATTTAAAGAATATATTTACAATGGTGTTTTGTTTTCTTTTTTTTTTTCTAATAGAAAATTTGGCTTCTGAAACATCCCCAAATTTCAACAATACCATCAAGTCATTTTGATTGTCCTTCTGGACTTGTTACAGTATTTTTAAAGTAGGAAATTTCTTTCTCTAGGCCTTTCTATTTATAAGCATGTACTTGTTGCCCTGAGGACTTCCATACTCTGGGGCAAAAGGATCCTTGGGAACTCACATTATGTGGCATCTGAGTGTTTGGCCCCATTACAAGTTGGCAGTTGTCTCAGATTCTGCACCTAAGCTGCGATTTTCAAGATCTACAGGGGTTTCCTCTTCTTCTGACCTAACTGATCCTATTGTGTAACTGCTGTGGCATGATAACTTTAATATGGAGAAAAATAGCTAACAATTCTCCAGAGGTTGTCAGGGGAATGATTTCCAAGGTAGGGATTGATTACAATTCAGGCAATGGACTGTAATTTAAAGGGGGAAAGCAGAGTCAATGAGGCTGATATAATGGTTTTTTCTACAAGTACCAATGCAATTAGATACTTGTTTTAGTTGAAAAGGTGCAGAAATTCTGTGATCTGTTCTTATGACCTTCATCACAAAATAAAGACTGGTAGTGGAAACCAAAACAGAATTCATTTTGGTGAATTTTAGTACTGTATATATTTAGTAACACCAGCTTTATGGAAAATAAATCATTTTAGTGAATTCACACACTGCATTATCACACGCCACTGCTTCAACTTGACTTTTAAGTCAGAATAATAAGTAGTTTATTTACATGGGCTATTGAGAGGTATCAAGGAGATACCTTTCTTTCATCATGCATTTCTTGCTCCTATAATTTTGCCAAACAGAAGTTCAGATTTTAGGGTTTAATCATGTGACTATTGAAGTCACTCCTTGAATGCAAAGATCTACTCTACCTTAGTAAGCTTATTATCACCTGGGATGCTAGCTCTTACATTTTAATGCATTATGTCTAGGAGCAGTTTGGGAAGTTGCACATTTAAAGCATCCTCACTGACTCTGGTAGGTGGATTATAGCCTGAGATACACAATAGATGTATTATATATTATGTAGTATAATATATATATCAGAACAAAAACCAGACATTTGACCAATGGAATAGGATCAAGGATGGGAAACAGCCTTGTTCACCTTTTGCCATCTGCTTTTTGACAAAGGGGTGAAAAACACACACCAAAGAAAAGATAGCTTTTTAATATGATGAAGAGGAAACTGGCTATTCACATGTAAAAGGATGAATCTAGACCTATAGTTCTTATCATGTACTAAAATCAAATCAAAATATATTAAAGATTTAGACATTAAAAATAGAAGCACTGAATCTTCTGGAAGAAAACATTGGTAATACTCTTGAAGACATAAGCATCAGCAAGGACTTTCTGAACCAAATAAGAAATTGCACAACAAATTACACCAAGAAGCAACACATGGGTTTATATCAAATTATAAAGCTTCTGTACAGCAGAGGAAACATCCTACAAAGTGAACAGACAACTTACAGAATGGGGAAAAAATTTCCAGCAATTTCTGAGACAGAGATTAATGTCTAGAATATAAAATGAAGTAAAAAAATTATACCCTCAATAATAAAAGACCCTATCAAAAATGCACAGTTGAAATAAGTAGACACTTTTCAAAAGATGATATACAAATGGCCAATCAGTACCTGAAAAAGTTTAGCATCTTTTTCCATTAGACAAATGCAAATTAAAACAACCAAAATCCCCTCTTATTCGGGAAGGAACGACTGTCATCAAGGGCTCAAAAAACAACAATTATTGGTGAGGCTTTGGGGAAAGAGGAATCTTTCTTTTTATTGGTGGGAATGAAAACTAGTACAATCACTATGAAAATGAGGATGAAGTTTCCTCAAAAAACTAAAAATAGATGCTCCATTTGATCCAGCTATACTTCTTCTGGCAATCTTCCCCAAAGAGTTAGACATGATACTACAGTGATACATGTATGCCCATGTTTTTGTTTTTTTGTTTTTTTGCACCAGAGATCAATCTCAGGACCTTATACTTGTGAAGCAGGCAGCGGAGCCACTGAGCTAAATTCCTGGCCCTCATGCCCATGTTTATAGCAGCACAACTCAAAAAGGACAATGTTCTAATTACAATCATATATTTTTGTATTGTATTCCTAATTTGAGAATGCTTCACCTTGTCCTTTATGAGCTTGTTTACATTAATTCCCATAAAAACTACATGTAGTTTGCCTTTACCCCAATTGATTGCCAACAAAAGTCAGTGTCTGGGACTAACCAGGGCCTTTGTCAGTCATGGCAGCATTGGTCATCCTGGCACTCGCTTTCTCTCTCTTAGTTCTGTCTCTTAGTGTATTTTTCCCCCTCAGGCTTGTGTCACACACTAGATGGAGACTAGAGGCTTACGGCTGGAGTCTCTGATACAAACTAGAACCTGTCTACATATAGAAATTTTAGGTGAAATAATCACTAATTTTCAGGACTATATTTTGATGTTCACTGACATTGTGAGAGCAAGAAATGTAGTTTTCAACAGGTCAACGTTGTTTAAAATTCTCAGATATCCTCTCTTACCTTTTGATCAACTTGCTTGGTGTCCTCCCAAGTGAGCACTTTTCTACCACATTTCTCAAAGCTTTAAGTGTGGAGCTCTAGTGGTGAGGGAGAATTATCTTCTTGGAAAGGGGAGCCAATTAGTGGGACCTCTCCCACCAACTTAGATCTATTTGTCTGTCTTATGGTTCTGTGACATTCACTTGCCCATCAGCTTATAAAAAAACTCTGCTAGAAACAAAATGTTTCTGAGATTTTTGATGCAGGGTTGTGGCTCAGAATCATAAGTGGCCTTCTTAATATTCTGCATTACTAGCTAAGGTTTACACAGCAAATATCTTTGTACATTAAGACAGAAAAGAGTAAGACAAAAGTGTATGTCAGCAGTTCAGGGGAATAAAAGGCCCATGGTGGAAATGGTGGGAGAGTTAGTATAGGTTAAGTTAGGGCTGCAACAAATGTCTGTCCCTCCTTAGGTTGAGTTTATAGCTCACCCCAGTACCATTTGATTTTTTTTTCTTCTTTTAATACTACCTAAGAATTCCTAACTGAAAACTAAAAGCTACTTAGAGTAGCTAAGTTAGGGCTAGGATTTGACAGGGTCAGGGAGTTTCTTAACACTTATGTGAATGACCCCTTGAGATCAGTTTTGGCTTCCCAGAACTTCCTATTAGACTGCTGGGCCAACTGTGCCCCTTGTTTCACCAAATAAAAGACAAATAGTATCCTAGAAGCTGTTTGGGGGACTTTCCGAATCTTTTGACTATTTTCATAGTTTTTATGCTAATAGTTGTAGAGAGATAAGCTCCATACATCCCCAAGCAGCTTCTTCCTTTCAGATCTATGCCATGGATCCCTTGTCAAGTAAGTTTATATTCTATCCCATCTATTCTTTCATGGGCCTGACAAAATCATTGGCCCATTTAAACAATGAAGCGGTTTTTAAATCAAAGATGAGGAAGAGGCAATGTACATGGGCACTTATGACTAATTTTTGAGACACACACAAGAAAACTACCAGTGATGAAAATAACCACTAAAGACAACTGATAAAATTCTGTACAATTTATACACTGGTGTGCCTCACTGTTATCTCTGTTTTAGCTTATTTGTATAGTGTTGTGTGTTTTGCTTAAAAACCTTTGAGGCTATGGGAGTGTTGGACTTGAGATCAATTCTTGGGAGGCTGTTTTCTGTTCTACAAAGAGTATTTGGCTGCCAGGGAACATATTGTGTGAATTCTCTTATCTGTGTCAAAGCCAATTACAGCTGTACAGACTCAACCTAGCAGTGGCACACTGATACGTGTGAGTTTCAAGATGACACAAAGTGGCTGAGCCCAACAAGAATCAGAAGTTTTGGGGTCAAGTTGAATGTTACTGCTTGATGGGGAAGGGGAGAGAAGGAAAGATAAATGTCAGTTGTTGCTGATATGATATGACTCTGGAACCCTTTATAATCCCTGTGAACTTTGTGTTGGTTCCTGTATTTTCAGTGTGTACAGTGGGTGGCTTGCAGGGAATGGTCAGGCAGGGACAGAGGGCCTAGTAGCTTCTGGTCACCTGTCCCCTTCCACTGTTCTTTGGGTTTCTCTGGGAAGCTCAAACTCAAAGGAAGTTTTTTCTTTGAAAGCTTCAAAAGTCACTTTATTCTACAGTTATTATTTTTGAATTTTTCAAATTGTATTCTGATAAAATTTATGTGAATTAGATGTTGTTTCTAGGTTTTTGAGTTTGTATTAGGAGTTTTTCTTTTATTCATTATCATTTGACAAATAAGCACAATGCACCCACTATATGCCAAAGAACCATGGGTGAACTGCTTATATGGGAGAATGCAAAGTCTCACTTCCCGAGGCCTCAGCACTTTACACTTTTGGCCCTGGGTTGAACTACAGAGCCAGGTCTTGCCAATAGATGTCGTCTTGTCATGGCCGAAGACTTCTGGGAAATGGTCCTTTGAGGAGCTACCTTGGCCGAGGCTCTTTTGGTTGAATCTCTAAGCACAGCAGCACAAGACAAGGCCTCATGTCTAGTGATATAGCCTGGGGAAAAGAAATGAGAGAGGCTTTATATTCAACAATTGTACAAAGCAAGCAAAACTGCAAGTATTCACATAATCATACAAGAATTCCATTTTTGTGGTTAGCATGCTCTGATTATACTTTTTTTGAGAACGGGTAGTATATGTTATTTCTTTTGCAGCTCTCATTCAATAAGTTAACAGTCACAGATTGACATGTCAAATCATTTGATAAGCGATTTAAGCCATGAAGAATATTCATATAAATAACTTATCTTTGTTGTCAAAACTTTCTTCAATTCAGGAAAAGATATTTAACCCTTGCAGTGCTTCTAGACATGCATTCTGCAGAGACTATCTACTAAAAAGTCACCTGGCTGAAGCTTTTTTAAACTGTCTACTAAAATGCACATTTCTACCTCAAAGACCTTCTGAATTTGAAACACAGAGGAGTAGACCTGGACATCTGTATTTTAATAAAATGACAAGCAGATTTTATATGCACGAAATATTGAATGCCTCTGCTTCTGGACTTACTGGTTTGTTTGTTATTTTATGCCAAAAATAAAGCTATCAAACAATGTTTCTTTAACACTTAAAACCAGGCCAAATCCTGGCTCCTCCATTCAATAGCTGCATGTCACTGGTCAGGTTTTTTAACTTATCCCTGTTTCAGTTTTCTCTTTTGTAAAATGTAGAAAATAAAGACAGCCAGCACACAGTATTTGAGTTTTAAATAAGACAATACATGTTAAATTCTTGGAATAGTGCCTGCCCCTTAGGACATCCCAGATAAAGGACAGCTGTTGTTGCTATTGTTATTTTTAGTAAATAATGTGCAAATGCCTTGTCTTCCCATTAATGGACAACAGAATAAGGTAGATATGCTAATGTAATAGTGGTATTTTAAAAGAGTGCTCTGTATCAGAATTAAGAGAAGAGTTTTCAACAGCTGGCCACAGAAAACATTTCCTGTAATGGCAACAGTGCCTTTCAGTGGGTTGGTATTTATAACATGTGCAGGTTTTTCACCATCATGATTTCATCTGTGCTTCATAAAATCTGAAGAGGACAGAAAAGGGAGAGGCAGCAAAGCACGTGGGGGACAGGGGCATGGCCTTTGGAGGTGACAGCTCTGACATGAAGTATTCACTGACATTTTCTGTCCGTGTTGTATTCACCAAGTTACATAACCTGCCTGAGCTTCTGTTTGTGACAGATATGAAACGGGGAGAAATGTGATATTATATGTAAAGCTCTCAGCATGATATCTGAAACATGATAAATGTTCAACGTCTGTAACTATTATTGCTGTGAGCAAGTCAGGCCTTGGAGTCTGTGCAAACAACAAGGAGTAGAGCTGAGGATTGAGCATAAACTGGCTTTCTAAAGCCAGCATCATTGATCCACTAGATCAAGTTCCTGTAAATCTCGAAGAGTTGTTCAACATTTTGACAATCCGTACTCCAATTTCTTTAAACCCCCTTAATTTACCCATAAGACTTTGCTCTCTATTGTCAGAGATAATCGTTTTTAAATTTGGCTAGCCAAGCATGCTGATAAAATAAGTTGGCAGGGGCCATTCCACTTGAATTATTTTTCTGAAAACGTGACTTCTGGCTGTAGCACATGAGTTCCTTCCTGAGGTGCCAGGCTCAGGTCAGGTTGTTAAACTCACCCAGCTGCTGCTGTTGCTGAAGGCTGTGAATGTAGCGAGTCTGCAGAGCCTCCCACTGGGGCCTGGAATCATAAATCCTCATGATGCTATAAAAGTAGCGCTGCTGCCCTGGGGTTAGTTCCTGCTGGGGAAGAGCAGGTGATTTTGATGAGTCTCTACAGGATTAAAAGTATGAGATTTTCAAAGCTAACTTCCATAGGAAAAAACATATGTGCTTTAATATACAGTAACTGGAATAGAATAACCAGGTCATTGTCCTCCTTAATTTGCTTAAACAATGTTCTGCTAGTCTGTATGATGATAAAAATGGGTATGGAAAATGTGCTCCGTAAGTAGGTCATGGTATTGGATTGAAGAAAGGAGATCTAAGGATTTGTAAGATCTTAGATTTTGTTGATCCTTATTGAGGAAAGTAGGTTGTGAGATTACACATGGCCTGAAGTGTGCCAGGCCTCAGCATGGGTGAAACTTGCAATGGGAAGTTCCTAGTAAGCAAAGGAGACAGAGATGAATAGATGCTTAGTGCAGTAAGAAGTCCACTTTAGTTTTAAGCAGGTGCTCTGAAAACAGAACCAACTGCCTGTAATAGTCAAGGCAGGCTTCCTAAATGAGATGAGTCCACACCTGAATCTTAAGAATAAAGATCAGTCCCTGAAGGGCTATAATACCAGTTCTGAAAAGGCATTGGCAATACCAGGGTAATGTTAGAAATGTAAATTCTTGGGTCTGGAGATGTAGCCCAGTGGCAGAGACTTTCCTAATATGTATAAAACCCTGGATTTCATCCTGAGCACCCTACACACACACACACACACACACACACACACACACACACACACACACACACACACA